ATGTTGGACATGTGTTGTATATTCTGAAGTGCTGGTCTGTTTGACCATTTGTGGAGGATTTGATGGGATAGGTGCATCCATTACATTATCCTCTGGGTTATGTATTTCTACCTCTCTTTCCACACCCTCTTCCAGGTGTTCATTTTCTCCTCTTGCTCTACGTCTAGTCATTTTTAATAGTCCCACTAGGCGTGCCAAAAATATATGTTGGATTTTTTTGGCTTTTGAGGGTAAATAGTGTAAATTTAAGCGTGTCAGCAAGGATTAATCAGTCCTTACATAATTTTACTTATCAACCAATTATTAGATGATTGTGTTGATGTTCTTTCAGCCTCAATGAAGAAGACTCTTACTGGTGGCTCGTTTTAGGAGAAATTGATAAGAAATAACAAGTACAGAACAATTCAGAAACTGAATTTCATTAAGTAAATAGGAACTTACAATGAAATGACCCAGCCTTGAAAATTTTTACAACAACGACTACTTGAAACCACTCCTAGGAAATGATGCACAGTACAGGAATTGAAGAACTGGAAATGTAAAGAACTGGAAATGTAAAGAACTAGAAATGTAAAACTGGAAAGAAATATGAAGTAAATAAACTGGTTTCTGGATCTGAGTCTGGGTCTTTCATTCTGGGGCCTTCTCTCCTATTTATACTTTCGAGTGTAACTGTTGAAGTGGGCTTCTAACTGTCTAAAGTCCTCCCATGATCTCATGTTCTCTCACAGTTAGTCTCCACTACGCCATTCTTTCAGTTAGGCTTCCCTCATGAATTTGAATTTGAATTTGTGAGTAACTGTTGGGCCACGTCATCTTGTGCCTTCTAGCTACTTCAATGTTGCGCAGATCCATTGTTACCAATATGAATTGCCACGTGTCTATTGCTGATTAGAAGCTTACATTAACTTTCCAAATTACCTTTTACATACCACGCGTTAAGCTGTGATTGGCTTATACAAAATATGTAGCCAACAGAGGTTCAACCTAACTTTGAAGAACTTTGTGATCTCATCAAGGTCCATGTGGATGAAGTCAAATATGGTAGGAAGCAATTACTCAATTAATTAGTTTGTATCAAACTTGCAACAGATCAGGAAATTTATCAAGTGACAATGGTGCAAAGAGTTGGGACAAACAGGATGCAGGTGGCATTCATGACTTTGTTATGGTTGATTTTTAATAATGAAAAGAAAACAGGGTGAAATTGTAATAATGGGGCCAAATGAGTTGTGTGATTTGATCAAGACAAGGATTGCTTTGTGGTTGAAACCTATATTCAAGGAATCCAATCTTATCGTTCAGGATTTTCTATTTAATCTCAGGCAGATCAGAAGGTGTGTTGGTGGTAGAGTGGCTCTTTGAAGCGCATCTTGTTTGTGCTATGGGGCTGTAGGTTGGTGGCCTTGGTTCCTCTTGCTTTTAATTAGGTGTTGTCTTTGTCGTATTTTAGTTCAGTTTTGTGTTGCTGGTTTCACCAATTTTAGATGCGCTAGCAAATGATTGGACAGGCCTTTTGGTGTCAGTGGCAAAGTCAAAATTTTGACTCAAAGGAGGCACCATTGAGTTAGAATCTTAACAAAAATCACAATCAAACTTAACCTAATTTTTATTTAATGATAGGAATAAAAAGTACTGTAATTCAGATGTTATATCTAAATATAAGCTCGAGTTAACTGATCTTAATTATTTTTATTTTCAATTTGATTTTATATATAATGATTACATGGTTTGAAAAATAATCACAAGTCTCATAAAATATAAACACGAAATTATATTAAGTTACACGCACAAAAGAGATGTAAATAGGAATAAAAAAAATAGAAAAAAAGAAATGAGAGAGAAGGTGAATAAATAATACAAAAAACACTACTATATATCAATTATTTTTTTTTACAATTTTGAATCATTAAATTACATAATAATATATTATTAGTTTTTGTTAACTGAGTAATAAGTATTTCTAAATAAAGGAACTAATTATGAGTATTCATATAAGATGTGATATAATAAAAAACTCAGTGACATATGATATTTCTCTAATATAAAAAAAATTGGTGACACATAATAATATATTAAACAAGTTTTTTTGAAGAGAAGATATAAAAAAAATAGTGATTTAAAAATTTAATATCATATTTAAATGGATTAAATTAAAACTTCTTTTTACTAGAGGGAAAAGTGTAATTTTTCAAAGTTGAGGGAACAAGTGCCCCCTTGGTCTCCACTTGCCTCCGTCACTATTTAGTGTCAACCTAGTCGAGATCTTGTTAGTGCGCTTTGATACTCTATACACCTTATCCTTTTTATTAATGTAACTCCATATATTATGTATGTTTATATCATCAATAAATAAATAAAAAAGTTGACTGATCAAAAAATACCTTTAATGTCTACTCATCTATGCTGAATCTAAATAGCATCATGCATGGTAGATTATTTTGGGAGGGAATATCAAAAAAGTAAGATGTAAGAAAATAATTTCAAGCTCATGTTTTTTGCATGAGTTTGTAAATAAATATTGTACTTTCACAAGTTTATAATTATTTTTTTTACTTTTCACTTTTTTTATTTATATATATTTTTCTCTCCCCCCCCCAATTAATCAACAAAAAAAACTCCCTTGGCCACCTTTTGAGGCTCGCCCGATCTCTCCCCCGGTCAGCCTGTCCTCCCCCTTTTCATCTCTATGATGGCATAACTATACTTCAGAATTAGGTCATGTTTAGAAATTTGTCTTTCAGTAATTTTGTAGTTTTCTTAATTTTTTTATAAAGTGAAAAAAAAATAATTTTCTTAGTTGTATTAAAAATTAAAAATTATTAAGATGTTTGACCTTTTTTTATTGATTTTTAAATTTTTTTAATGACTTCTAATTTTTTTACTTTTTGACAAGTTGCAAAAGGGGGAATTAGGCTTCATTCGGTTATGATTTTAAAGACAAATTTATTGATTAAAAAAATTATTTTACTAAAAAACAGTTTTAACTCATGTGAGAAATTCATTTTTGGTCAAAAAAAAACCCACTTTTATCACTCTAAATAGTTATTAAAAAATTAGAAACATAACAAATAAATTAACCATTTTAGCATTAGTGTTTTTATAAATTTATTTTTAATCAATAAATTAACTTTTAAATGAAATCTTAATTTGTAAAAAAAAGATACATGCACAAAATTCGATTTGCATGACCGATTTCGTTTTCGTGTTGTTATTTTCTATCTCTAAAGCATTTCCATCCCTATATATAATACCATTTGGATGAAACTTTCAGCCTTGAAAAAATTACTCAATTGCCCCTTTGCCTCATAATATTTGGAAAATGTCTCGTAGCTTAAATTTTGTGGCTTAAAAGTGGCTCAAATGGCCAAAACGATGTCGTTTTGGCCATTTTTATGTTGTTCTGTACTCAAAACGACGTCGTTTTGGCCATTTGAGCCACTCTGTACTCAAAACGACGTCGTTTTGGCCATTTTTATGTTGTTCTGTACTCAAAACGACGTCATTTTGACCATTTGAGCCACTTTTGAGCCACAAAATTTAAGCTACATAGCATTGTCGCATAATATTATCGTCTTCTTCTCATCGCAACTCATGCAATACATTATCTTCATCCTAACTCATCATCAATGTCGCATAATCTATCCCTATACATAAAGAGTGAATGCCTTGGACGAAACTTTTAACCTCGTGAAAACTACTCAATTGCCCTTTTGTCTCATAATATTATCATCATCTTCTCATCCCAGCTCGTGCAATGCATCAACTCATCATCAATGCCTCATAGTCTTACCTTATATATAAAGAGTGAATATCAACTTGAATGAAACATTCATCCTTGTTGAAATTACTCAATTGCCCCCTTGCCTGATAATATCATCATCATCATCATCATCTTCTCATCTCAACTCATGCAATGCATCATTTCATCCCAACTCATCATCAATGCCTCATAACCAATTTTTTATTTTTGCCAACATTGCTCAATTGTCCTTTTATATCTATACTATTCTAATATGTAAAAACCTAAATTGGTATTGACACTGCTGTGTTTCATAATTTTTTTTTTCTATTTCCAAAATATATAGGTTTAAATAACTATTTAATTCTCACACATATAACTTTTTTTCTACATTTTTTCCCATAACTTTTTTTCAATTTACACACACATGACGTTTGTCAATTGTTAGTGTATATATATATATATATATATATATTTAAAAGTTATCTTTTTTTTTTTTTTTTGAACATAATTCATTAACATTCGACACAATACATAATTCATTAACATTCGACACAATACATAATTCATTAACATTCGACACAATACATAATTCATTAACATTCGACACAATACATAATTCATTAACATTCGACACAATACATAATTCATTAACATTCGACACAATACATAATTCATTAACATTCGACACAATACATAATTCATTAACATTCGACACAATACATAATTCATTAACATTCGACACAATACATAATTCATTAACATTCGACACAATACATAATTCATTAACATTCGACACAATACATAATTCATTAACATTCGACACAATACATAATTCATTAACATTCGACACAATACATAATTCATTAACATTCGACACAATACATAATTCATTAACATTCGACACAATACATAATTCATTAACATTCGACACAATACATAATTCATTAACATTCGACACAATACATAATTCATTAACATTCGACACAATACATAATTCATTAACATTCGACACAATACATAATTCATTAACATTCGACACAATACATAATTCATTAACATTCGACACAATACATAATTCATTAACATTCGACACAATACATAATTCATTAACATTCGACACAATACATAATTCATTAACATTCGACACAATACATAATTCATTAACATTCGACACAATCCAACATTCATCCAATTTTTTTTTTTGAACAATCAATTTTTGTTTATAAACATTCAATCCAATATTGAACAAAATTCATTCAACCCAACCTAAATATAACATTAAAATTCATCATATTTTCCTGCTCAATCCCAAACTTTACAATCATTCCATTCAAAACATTAATTGAGACAAGTTTTAAACATCCATCCATTGAAAACCAGTAAGTAATTGAACAAAAATTAAAAGGAAAATCAATGAAGGAATCCAAAAAAAATTCTACAACATGAAGGAATATATATGGTTTTGAAGCATCAGCCTTGTGCTTGATCGTTTTTGGAAGTCACCTACAAATAAAATAAGAAAAGTTAGAATCTAGAAACATATCCAAAATGAAGTATTCTCATAAAAAAAAATTAACCATATGGCAAAAAATTTATATGATTACATTACAAACATTTGATGATGACTATACCACAATTAATATCCTCCAATTCAAATCTAAACTAGAGGCAATTCAGATCCTATATATAAAATAAATGCACAACATGACCCTTCACCATATTGTTCCCTTAATGCTGTGGACACTGAACATTGATTTGTTTGGTGAGATAACCAACATTACACACAACTTAAAACAATATCATCACTTTACTATTATAACCTCCAACAAAGATATAACACCTAATAAAAGTGGGAAAAAAGAAGTGGAAATAAAAAGAAAGCTAAAACTGAAATGAACAAATTTGAATCATCACAGTTAATTAGGTGATTGCCTTCAAATTCAGAAACACATTGAAAACATAATGAGAAACATATATAGTTTTCGAGATCTTGTTTCTCATTATGTTTTCAATGTGTTTCTTGTCAACAATATATGTTTACTACCACCTAATTAACTGTGATGATTCGTTACTCTGTTCTTTTACGTTACTCTGTCCTTTTAGTTCCTTCTCAAACAATATATTGCATATTTACCAACAAAAAACAAGCCCTAATATGTTACTCTGTCCTTTTAGTTCCTTCTCAACAATTACGATTGCAGACTTTTGTCCTTTTTTATATGTTGTGTGTGCATGCAGTGGGGAAGAGTGTATTAAAAATTAATAATAAATAAATAACTAAATAAAAAGCAAAGTTACTATTGAATTAACAATAGAATCCAAAATATTTGACCCTGAGCACATAGAACAAAAAGAAAGTTGGTTGGACAATCATATTTATGCCATGTATATGTGGATTTGTTCTATCATACAATTTTTTTCTATTAAAAATATGCTATCACATGCACATCTACAGGTCCTATAAAAATGTCAACCTAAAAAGATTTTGCCATCAAATTAAGTCACATAAGCACACTTATCTATTGAGTTACAGAAATTGATGAAGCAAATTTTAGTGTTAAATGCACCATCTCGCTACTGCATATTAGCAGATTTCCTAGTTTACCTTGCACCACAATATCCTTACTTGAAGTATTGACCAATAAAACATTGGTTACTATTGTTTTTACAATCAGTTCAATTTAGATTGTCACAGATTTGATATTGAGAGATATATCTCAACAAGTGTGCGATACCAAAGCAGGCCACATGACAACAAATCATGCTCCATATCATTTACAAATAATTTTTTGATAGTGGAGAAGCTTAGATGACAAAATTATACTGCTCATGTCCATGAACCAATCAATTGATGTAATAAAACAAAAACTGCTCTCATTCCACGCCATGGTAAAAGATAATGCAAATGATAAAATGAAAGTTGTTAATATTATTGACTTCATCAAACTTGATACTATAGGCAAAATGTGTCAATAAAATAATAGTTTATTCCCCCCATCAAAAATAAGTGCACAAATCCAAGTACTTGGAAGTTTTCCCAATAAATTTATGAAATGGAGCCAGTGGTTATAATATTCTAAGATTCCATTCAGCATCAGGGTTAATGTATGTAACTAGTAGATAAACTCCAAGGGATAGACCAGACCATAGTAAAAGATAATGCACATGATAAAATGGAAATAAGTTCGTCAAGCTAAAAAATATGGGAAACCTGTTCATAGCCACCAAGTCTGATGACTGCTCTCCATAACCTAACTCACATATAGAAGAAACATTAGTGCAAATTAGGAAGCGCCCAAAAAATTAAAGCAAGCAAATTTGGCAATTAGGGTCACTCATAACTCACTTGAGGCAATTTAATGGCTCTCCATAAAATCCTGGGGTTTTGAATTCCAAGCACCTCTCTTTGTGGAAAGTTTCCAGCTCCTTCATGAATGCTGCTTGCTCTTCCTCTGTTCCGGCCTCATTGCCCCCATTAGCATTTGTTTCCAAGAACGACTTCTTTGAGGTCTTGTATGATAAATCCCTGCAAACAAACAAGCTATACTGCTGGTTACTAGTATCGTGAGAGGGAATCCTTCCCATATAAATCTTTTTGTTCCTATTAGGATGTTTTGTAGAGGGCAAAGAAAATGAAAGAGAAATGAGAAATAAAGTAGAAGTTAATTTATTTTTTCTTTTAGGGAATGCCATAAGTTTTCCTCCTGTTGTTGCCAAAACTGGAACATGTAATTTTAAAATGCTTAGATAGTTAGAGTTGCATTGGTGAAGAAGAAAATACTTACAAATACTTCAATGATTTGAGACCAAACAGAGCAGGAGCTATTTCCCCAGTCAAATCACTAGAGGAAAGGTTACACGTTGATTCTCGTCCAAACCAAATGGTTCATTGCACTATGAACATAAACACTTCATGCACGACTGATGATAGAGGCGTGAGGTTATGTTCAAAGCATAATTTAAATTCAATGTTCATTATGGCTTCACACATCAATTATACACTTTTTAGCAGCAAAAGTAGGTAACCTTTCCACAAGTTTTTGTGCACATGAGAGCATATATTTAGTCACACATAGTTGCTGTGCCAGTCAAATGGGTGTGCTTCCAATATACTCAATTGATGATGTCAGGTTCATCTTGCTTCTACATGATCTCATTCTATATTTCAAACTCACATAAAATCAGCTCCAAAACATTATACCAACATATGCTGTCGAACTCTTTTCAAGTGACTGGAGTCCATGAGAATTACTCTATTAGACTATCATCCAGATTGATTCCATAGCCCAACTTTTGAAGCAAACACTACTGCTCATTTCAACCAACATGATCAAAATCATAGCCACCAAAGTACAAAAACACCATATAATCCCTCCTCTTCCCCTGAACATGGAAATAGGCAGAAATATAATGAGGGCATGAGAGTGATTGAGTTACTTGAGAGGGTAAAGCTAGCGGCTGATGGTGGAAACCGTGGTGGCTAAGAGTAGTAGCAACACTGCAGGAAAAAAAATGCTAGGGTTCACAAATTAGGGGTGAAAGAGAGAGAGAGAGACAGAGACAGAGACAGAGACAAAGGAAGAAGGAGGAAATACCTGGTGGATGAGAGCTTCGGAGGTTGGTTGGGGCGAGGAACTCATGCGTCTGTGGTAAAGAGGAAAAAGCAATTGGCGAAAAGAATCGATTACAAATTACAGCCAAATCACTAAATCTAATCTACCACACCAATAATCAGTTCAAAAGACCATAAATCTAGAACACAAATCAAAACCCATTTACTTATTTCACAGAAATCAAAATCCTACAACATCAAAAAAATAAAACTCTAGAGTTAGAGTGAAATGGGAAGAGAGAGAAAGAAAAACTTGAATGTTGATGGGAGGCGAGACAATGGTGAGCGGCAGTGGCCGTGTGATGATGTGCGACAATGGAAAATGAGAGGCGGTAGTCATGTGCAACGGTGAGATGAGCGGCGGTGGTGATTCATTCCCTGTGTGAAAGAAAGAGAGCAAGAGAGAGGGAGAGAGAACCTGCTTGCTTGTGAAGGACTAAGAGACTGATAGCACGAGACAGAGGGAGAGAGAACTTGTGATTTGCGGTGGTGGCGGTGGTGATTTGCGGTTGCGGCCGTGGCAATGTGCGACGTACGGTGAGCGACGGTGGTGAGGGACTGTGCTGAGATGAGGTGGGGTGAGGTTTGGTGGTGATGTATGAGAGAGAGGACTTTTGTGTTCGTTCGAAACGAGAATGGAAGAGGGCGCGAATATTAAAAGTAATTTCCCCTGCAAAGTTTTAGACCAATTTAGCGACTAAATTGGTTATTTGTCGGCAAATAATGCATATAGTATGACTAAAACTTCTTGTAGCTAGAACGTTTCGTAAAAAAAACTTTAAAAAAAATCCCTATATACCAAAAATACAAATAATAAAAAAAAATACTAAAATTTAATATATTTTTCGTTCTCGTAGATTTATTAATTTTTGAAAATATTTTTTTACAATATTTTACTTTTTAGATACATTTAAGTAAGATACATCTAAAAAAGTAAAAAAAAAATACTTAAATTTTTTAAAATATTCACTAAAAAAAAACACGAAAAACAAAAGCGTGAGAGAATCGATGGCAAAGAGAGAGAGAGACACGTGTTTAAGCCCTAACTCATTTTAGTGTGTTTGAAATCCCTCTAGAGTTCCTCACCAAATTAATTTAAAAATCCCTCCAAAATGATAATAAATAAAAAGTAAAAGAAAGAGATAGAGACAGAGAGAGAAAGAGAGAGAGAGAGAGACAGGGAGAGAAAGAGATAGAGACAGAGACAGAGAGAAACAAAAGATGAGTAGCAGATAGACAAAGAAAGAGAGAGAAAGAGAGCCAAAAGAGATGATCGAGAGAAAAACATAGAAAAAGAGAGAGATAGAGAGAGGGAGATAGAGAGAAAAAAGATGAGTGAGAGAGATAGATAAAGAAAAAATATGAGAGAGATAGAGAGAAGAGAGATGAGCGAGAGATAAAGAAAAAAAGAGACAGAGACAAGAGTGATGAGTGAGAGAAAGAAGAGAGAGAGAGAGAGAGAGAGAAAAAAAAAGATAGAGAGTGAGAGACAGAAAAAGAGACAAAGAGAGATGAGAGATGAACGAGAAAGACAGAGAGATAAACGAGAAAGACAGAGAGAAAGATAGAGAGAAGAGATATGAGCGAGAAAGACAGAGATGAACGAGAGAGACAGAGAGAGAAGAGAGATGAGAGAGAGATGCGAGAGAGCTCAAGAAGAGAGATGAGCAAGACAGATAAAGAGAAGAGAGATGAACGAAAGAGACAGAGAAAGAAGAGAGATAGAGAGAGAGATAGAGAGAAGAGAGAAAGAGAGAGACAAAGACAAAGACTGAGACAGAGTAGGAAAGAGAAAGAGATAGAGACAGAGAGAAAGAGAGAGACAAAGACAAAGACAGAGACAGAGTAGGAAAGAGAAAGAGATAGAGACAGAGACAGAGAGAAACAAGAGATGAGTAAGAGATAGACAAAGAGAGAGAAAGAGAGCGAAAAGAGATGATCGAGAGAAAGACATAGAAAAAGAGAGAGATAAAGAGAGAAGAAAGATGAGTAGGAAAGACAGAAAGAGAGATAGAGAGAAGATAGATGAATGAGAGAGATAGAGAAAGAAAAAAGATGAGAGAGATAAAGAGAAGAGAGATGAGTGAGAGACAAAGAGAAAAAGAGACAAACACAGACAGACAGATAGAGAAGAGTAATGAGTGAGAGAGAGAAAAAGAAGAGAGACAAAGAGAGAAAGAGATAGAGAGTGAAAGTCAGAAAAAGAGACAGAGAGAGAGAGAGGAGAGATGAACGAGATAGACAGAGAGAGAGATAGAGATAAGAGAGATGAGCGAGAGAGACAAAGAGATGAACGAGAGAGACAGAGATAGAAGAGAGATGGGAGAGAGCTCAAGAAAAGAGATGAGCAAGGCAGATAAAGAGAAGAGAGATGAACGAAAGAGACAAAGGAACAAGAGAGATAGAGAGAGAGATAGAGAGAAGAGAGAAAGAGAGACAAAGACAGAGACAGAGACAGAGTAGGAAAGAGAAAGAGATAGAGACAGAGACAGAGAGAAACACGAGATGAGTAAGAGATAGACAAAGAGAGAGAAAAAGAGTGAAAAGAGATGATCGAGAGAAAAACATAGAAAAAGAGAGAGATAAAGAGAAAAGAAAGCTGAGTAGGAAAGACAGAGAGAGAGATAGAGAGAAGATAGATGAATGAGAGAGATAGAGAAAGAAAAAAGATGAGAGAGATAGAGAGAAAAGAGATAGAGAGTGAGAGTCAGAAAAAGAGATAGAGAGAGGAGAGATGAACAAGATAGACAGAGAGAGAGAGATAGAGATAAGAGAGATGAGCGAGAGAGACATAGAGAGAAGAGAGATGAACGAGAGAGACAAAGAGAGAGATAGAAATAAGAGAGAGATGAGCAATAGAAACAGAGAGAAAAGAGAGATGAGAGAGAGCCAGAGAAGAGAGATGAGCAAGAGAGATAGAGACAAGAGAGATGAACGAAAGAGACAGAGAGAGATAGAGAAAAGAGAGAAGAGATAGATCAGTGAGAGACATAGAGAGAGAGACAGACAAACAGACAGATAGACAAACAGACAGAGAGAGAAGAGTGATGAGTAAGAGAGAGAAAGAAAATAGAGAGAGGAAGATGAAAAAATTGGTAAAAAGAAGTAGACAAAGAGAGAGAGAAAAAGAGCAAAAAAGATAAACGAGAGAGATACAGGGAGAGATGAGCGAGAGAGATAAAGAGAAGAGAGACAGAGAGAGATGAGAGATGAGAGAGATAGAGAAAAGAGAGATAAGCGAGAGACACCGAGAGAGAGACAGAGAAGAATGATGAGTGAGAGAGAGAAAGAAAGAGAAGAGAGACATAGACCAAAATAGAGACACAGAGAGAGACAGACAGACAGAGAAGAGTGATGAGTGAGAGAGAGAGAAAGAGAAGAGAGACAGAGATAGAGACACAAAGAGAAAAAGAGAGACAGATAGATAGAAAGAGAGAGAAAGAGTGATGAGTGAAAGTAATTTTTTATTTTTCTTTCAGCGACGAAAATATTTTAGTTGCCAAAACTATATATACCGCGACCAAAATAATTTTTAGTCGCTAAAATTAAAATTTTGCCGACCAAACTTTTGGTTGCGAAAGATAAAAAATAATTTTGTATTTTTTTCTTTCAGTGACCAAAATGTTTTAGTTGCCA